TTTTATTTTTTCATTATTTTATTTTCATCGTCTCTATTTTAAAATCTTTTTACATAAAAACTAATAAATAGGAAATAAAATAGAGGTGCCAATGAGTAGGTTCACACCCCCCCCCACATGCTGTGTGAAAGAAATAATTTAAGCATATATAAATTATAAATATTCAAACCTAGTAGGCCAGTGCCCATGCACAGAAATGAAGGCCAGTGGGAGAGGCAAGTGCATCTTCCCCACCTCATGTAGACAATGACTCGGGGCTTCTCGATGGCAGAAGCTCAATGGTAAACCAGACAGACGTGGTCCCTGCCCTCAGGAAGCTCCTGCCAGGTCCAGGCTAAGGCTGAGATTCAGCCTGAAACCCAAATCATCCCAGAGAGCATGGACCATCCAACCTCTCTCGGGGGCAGGGTTCCTGAGGGTTGGCAGTGGAAGATGCACCCTTCTTTGTCTTGGGCCGGGTCCCCACCCTTTCCCTGGGCAGCAGATGCTGGGCACCAGCACCCAAGCATCCTTCAGTAGCTCCAGATCTCTCCTGTGTGGAAGTGACATACAGGCCACTCTCCAACCCCCACCATGCCCTAATTCAGCCCATAGGTGGTGGCTGGAGCTGCAGAGACCCCTGAGCCCATCTGTCCAATGGGATGAAATCTCCCACCCTGTAGACTTCGTTCATTTCCTGCTGTTATAACAGAATGCCACACACTTGGTAATTTACAAAGAAAATAAATTTCTTAGAGTTCTAGCAGTTAGGAAGAACAACGGCATGGTGCTGGCATCTGGTGAGGGCTTTCTTGCTGCACCATAATATAGCGGAAGGCATCACATGGTGAGAAGGCAAGAGCCAGAGAGAACGTGCGTTTTTGAGACAGAGTCTTACTCTCCCACCCATGCAGTGGTATGATCACAGTTCACTGCAGCTTTGACCTCCTGGGCTCAGGTGACCCTTCCACCTCAGCCTCCCAGGCACATGCCATTACACCCCGCTAATTTTTTTTTCTTGTAGAAATGAGATCTCGCTATGCTACCCAGGCTGGTCTCAAACTGCTGGGCTAATGAAAAGTGCTGGGATTACAGGTGTGAGCCATCATGCCCAGCAGAAACCTTGTTTTTATAAAAATAGATAACAAAATCACTCCCATGATAGTGACATTAATCCATTCATGAGGGCAGAAGGATTACGTTTCCAACACATAAAATTTGGGGGACATATTCAAACCATAGCAGAAATCCTAAAATCAGAAATAGAAAGTACCCTTTCAATGCACAAATATTGAGTGTCACCATTGCCTGCTTTGAATCCCTGGGTTCCTGATACTTCTTGGTTTTCTCTCTGCTCCCAAGTTGGCATTACGGTCTTCCTCCTGCCTCTGACCCACCCATTTTGGATCCTAGGCAGGACCAAGTCTGTCCTTGAGAAGCTTGGTCCAATGCTCTGGGGTTGGCCCCTTGTCTTTCCCTTACCCCAACCCCTCTTCAGTTCCTGTGCACTATGGGGACAGGTGGGCTTTGCTTTAGTGTCTTCATGACCATGCCCTGACCTAGAGGCTGGACTGAACCAAAGGCTCAAATGAGTCAAATGGCTTCATTCAGTTGTTCAATCAATATTTCCTGCGCACTTGCTCTGTGCCCAGCCCCATGCCAAGGCCTGGAAAAACAGTGGTAAACCAGACAGACATGGTCCCTACCTTCAGGAAGCTGCCACTCTACCAGTGGGGGAAAAAGCCAAAAATACAGTGCTTCAGCCTCCATGAAGGGGTGAGTTTGGGTGCCATGCACACAGACAATCACACCAAACTAGTTTTTTGAGATCTTAAACAACCAAAATTTATTTATTTTGGTATTGGAGTCTCACTCCATCACCTAGGCTGGAGTGCAGTAGCACACTCACAGCCACCCCAGTGTCAACCTGCTGGGCTTTGGCAATCCTTCCGCCTCAGCCTTCCAAGTAGCCAGAACTACAGGCGTGTGCTACCACGCCTGGCTACTTTTCTGATTTATTGTAGAGACAAGGTCTTGCCAAGTTGCCCGGGCTGGTCACGAACCTGCAGGCTCAGGCAATCCACTCACCTCGGCCTCCCAACGTGCTGGAATTACAGGCTGAGCCACCGAGCCCAGCCCCAAAATTTATTTCTGAGTTCTGAAGGTTGGGAAGTCCCAGCAGGTACAGTGTCTGGTGGGGGCTTTCTTCCTGGCTTGCAGATGGCAGCCCGTTTGCTGTGTCCTCACACAGGAGAGTCTTCTATGAGGGAACTAACCCCATCATGAGGGCTCCAGATAAAACCTAATTACATCCCAATGGGAGGATTTACCAGACAAAGTGAAGTCTAGGCAGAAATCTGAAGGACCAAGAGCGGTCAGTCAGGTGATGGAATAGGGAATGGAGGGGGGGGGGTTCCACTGCAGACAGGAACAGAGAGATCTTATTCTAGAAAGATCACTCTTGCTTCCATAAGGAGAAGAGATTAAAGCAGGTAAAACTAGAGGGTCATAGGAGTGTAGGAAGGGCTCACTAAGCTTCCAGGTGGTTTGAAACCAGCTTTGAAGGTTCAGCAACTCCATTTCTTCAGTATCCAGAGGTAAGGGTGCCAGCTTTAGCAAATAAAAATTCACCTAGCTAATTCCTTTTTTTTTTTAGAGACAGTGTCTTACTATATTCCCAGCCTGCAGTGCCGGGGCACAATCACAGCTCACCACAGCTCCTGGGCTCAAGGGATCCTCCTGCCTCAGCCTCTCAAGTAGCTGCGACTATAGGTGTGTGCCACGACTGGCTAATTATAATTTTTTAATTTTTTTTTGGTAGAGATGAGGTCTATGCTATGTTGCCCAGGCTGGTAAATTTGACTCTCAGATAAGCAATAAATAAACGTTTATTATAGAAGATCCAAACACAGCATGAATTCAAATTTAATTGTGCACTCAATATTTTATTAATGGTAAAGTCTTCAGGGCTGACTCATGTGTATTAAACTCACAGGGATCTGATGTGAATATCAATACACCAATGTATTTACAGTTACAGGCAGGGGTAAAATATACATTATTCAGATTCTCCTTTCTGGAAAATTAAACAAACCATCAGAAGATTGCTTGGTGAGCAGAGACTGAAACACAAAGATGAAAAATTTGAAAGAAAATTTCATCCCAAGGCATGAAAAATTCTGGAGAATCACGTTGGCCTCACTACACAGAATCCTTTTTGGTGGCAGGATGCTCAAGTCTCCACGGGAGAGCACAGGTTAGAGAGTAACAAGTCTTTATGTGCAGCTCCTTGTGGAAATATATGGTTCCTCTAGCTCACTTATCATTTGCTGGTTGTGGACTCTTCACTGTACTCTCAGGGTGAGGCCTTCTTTCAAAGCTTTGGGACTCCTTGCCAAGTCTTCCAACATAGTTGCACATCCAGGTTACACTTTTTTCTATATCTATCTATCTAGCTAGCTATCATGAGATGGGGGTCTCGCTCTGTTGCCCAGGCTGCAGTGCAGTGGCACAATCATGGCTCACTGCAGCCTTGAACTCCTAAGCTCAAGCGATCCTGCTGCCTCAGCCTCCCAAGTAGCTGGGCCTACAGGATTGTGCCACGACACCCAGCCATTTGCTGTTGTTGAGTCATTATCTCACTCTGTCACCCAAACTGGAGTGCAGTGGCACACTCACAGCCACCGCAACCCTGACCTCCTGGGCTCAGGCAATCCTTCTGCCTCAGCCTTTCAAGGAGCTGGAACCACAGGTGTAGGCTACCACACCCGGCTAATTTTTTGATTTACTGAAGAGATGAGTTCTCACCAAATTGCCCGGGCTGGTCTCCAAACCCTGGGCCCAGGCAATCCTCTCGCCTTGTCTTCCCAAAGTGCTGGGATTACAGGCGGAAGCCACCGCGCCCGGCCCAGGTAATCTTTTGATTCAGAAATCACTTCAGAAACTTGGAATACCCACACCCAAGGGATCACTTGCTCGAGCTGATTTTTATCTCCCTATAGCCTAGCTTCCAGTTTCTTCTTTCCACTCTCACTACGGCTTCCCTGACCGCAGGCTGCACCTCTTGCCGGGATTATGCAGCCTGAGTTGGCTCCTCTGAGTCCACTTTTGCCTTTTCTTTCCTATTCTCTACCCAACAGCCAGCGAGGCCTTCTAAATGCATACTTCGGATCACAGCCCTGCCTGCATAAAACCCTTCCAGGGCTCGCCATGGCACCCAGAAACAGCCTCCCGTCCGGTACATCTTTTCCACGACCTGTCTGGCCCGTGTCGGCCTCTCACCCTTATCTCCCCAGCTCTGCTCTCTACTTCTCTTCCCTCTACTTCCAAAGAAGGGCCACGCTCCCCGCTGCAGGGATTCACACCAGCCGATCCCTGGGCGCCTGCCACACCGCCGCTTTCTCAATGCTCTTCTTCCCCTTTACTCTGAGTAGGGCCCAGCATACCGTAGGCGCTTAACAGCCGCCTGCCTAACAGATGAAACGGGGGACGCCCGTCTTCTGCCCCAGCTCCGGGCGATGGCGCGTCGGGGTTTTTGTGTGGCGGTGCTTCCGCGCACAATTCCCTCGCGCTCGCCCTTTCCACCTCGAGCTCCCCGCGGCCTCCCTGCAGGCGCGGTGAAATGCCGGGTCTGACGGTGGCCACAGGAACCGAGGACCCACCCGAGCACCAACAAACCCGGCCAGCCGACCCCGACCCGGAAATCACTCTCTGCGGGAACGTATTTCCCCCACGCAGGGACGCGAGCCGGAAGTCTGCCTCGGGCCCGCCTCCGAACTATCATTGGGTAATAAACCCGGAAGAGGGCGGGGACTTGGTCAAATTTTGGTTTTGTATTGGCTAAAACCTACGGAACGGGAAAAGAAGGTGGAACCTAGAGTTTTTCAAGCTTTTCATTGGCTTAAAAAAAAAAAAAAAAAAAAAAAAAAAAAAAACCTCTGGTCCTCGGGTTTTCATTGGCTAAAGTCGAGGGTGGGTGGTGTCTTCCTAGCCCCCGGAACCCTGGCCGGCTACAAAGAAAAGTGTTTGTCCCGCCCCTCGGACGAACCCACTTCATTTTAAACAAAATGTCGAAGACACTACAGTCGTTTACCCCGAAGCCTTGGGGTCTCCTCTGGGGCGTTTGTTTCTCGAAGGTCTTTGAGTCTCGCTGAGCCGGAGGAATTAGGGAGATACGAGTGGTGAGGAAGCTCGGAACGATTCCTTCGCGGAACCATTGAGGCGAGGCCTCGGGGAGCACTTTGAGGAACGAACCGCGGCAGGCCCGGCCAGACTGGCAGGGATGGAGACGGCCGATGCGGGGCTGGGGACCGCTGTCCCCGTGGAGCTGCGGCGCGAGCGGCGCATGGTGTGCGTGGAGTACCCGGGCGTGGTGCGCGATGTGGCTAAGATGCTACAGACTCTGGGCGGCGAGGAAGGCGTCTCCCGGGTAAGGGGCTAGTAATCTCCGAGACTCGCGGGGAGGGACCGAGTCGCTGAACCCGGGCCAAAGGGGCGGTTCCACCCCGGGAAAGTGTGGTTTCCTTGGCAACGGAGCGTGCAGCAGACTCTGGCGCGGCTAGTAGGCGGGACTTTGCTTTCGGTGGTCGCGGGGGACGGGCCGTTTATTTTTTCCAGGGAACAGAGGGGATAGGACTGTGTGGGGGAGAGTTTGGGACCTCTTTTCCATTACATCCCCAAATGTGAGCCACAGCCTCAGCATCCATGCCATGAACTCCGCTCAACTGCAGCCCGGCAGGGTGTGTTGCGCTGCCTCACCCTCATTTCACTGGGAAATTAAGAACTGTTGATCTACCTGAGAGAGGGACAGACTGTTATGGGATTAAAGGCAGTCATGGCTGACATCTTTTTCTGTGCTAGGCTCGGTTCTAGTTACTTTGTTTACATTCCATCCTCCTTGGAACCCTACCAGGTTGGAGCTGTCAGTGTCTGCATTTTACAAGAAAACTGACAGTTGTTTAAGATCAAACAGTAAGTAGGTGAACAGGAACGAGGCTCTAAGTTTTTTACATGTACCAGATCTTGCAACGTCTCTTCTTTAGAGAATTTTCCTCTGACCGCTCTAACTAAAGTGACCTCCTGCCTCCTCATCCTGTTAATTGCAAGCTGAAATTACGTTTTTTGTTTTTGTTTTTGTTTTTTGAGTTGGAGTCTCACCGTCGCCCAGACTGGAGTGCAGTGGCCGCTCCTGGCCACCGCAGCCTCGACCTGCTGGGCTCCGGCGATCCTTCCGCCTCAACGTTCTAAGTAGCTGGAACTACAGGCGCGCGCTACCACGCCTGGCTAATTTTTTTCAGGCAATCCACTCACCTCAGCCTCCCAAAGCATAGGATTACAGGCTGAGCCACCGAGCCCGGCTATTCTTAGGATTTTTAAGGAGAAGGAATCGAAAGAGCCTTGGTATTCAGTCTCATATGCTTGGAAAGTCATAGGTAACAGGTAGTCACAGTCCAAATGGTTATTACTGATTGATTTCATCTCCTTTGGACCTAGAGACATTTGCAAATGGGACTGCATACCAAGACCCTTTGGGGTGGGTATTTCCTAGGGTAAGTAGCCCTAGACTAGTCACTCAGCCTTCCCAAGTCTCAGTTACCTCAAAGGTAAACTCAGGGTTGGGCACAGTGGCTCATGCCTGTAATTCCAGCACTTTGGGAGGCCAAGGCAGGATTGTTTGAGCCCAGGAATTTGAGACCAGCCTGGGCAACATAGCAAGACCCTGTCTCTAAAAAAAAAACCTTAAAAATTAGCCAGGCATGGTGGTGTGCACCTGTAGTCCCAATTACTTAGGAGGCTGAGGTGGGAGGATCACCTGAGCCCAGGAGTTCAAGGCTACTGTGAGCTATAAGTATGCCACTGCACACCAACCTGGACAATAGAGTGAGATCTATCTCAAAGAAAAAAATAATAAGGTAAACCCAAGAGTGTTACTACCTCCCCGACACATTTTCAGAAGTCACATGATGCCCCACACTGAGCAGGCACTTGCTAGATGATGATTTTGACTTCATTGGCAGTTGTTACCTCCAATTTTACAACCTCTTAGGAGGAAGGAGAATATTCTCATTTTCCACTAGATAAAAGCCAAATTACTTGGGTTTAAAAGATGAGTCTTTTGGGAACTAAGAATTCAGAATGAAACATAAGCCTGTTGGCCCTTCCCAGGTCATCAGGCTTTTGTTGAGAAAAGAGCATCCCCTTACTGGCTGCTCAGCTGGTCACTGCTTCATTTTGTTCTTGGCCTTGGCACAGATCTACGCAGACCCCACCAAGAGGCTGGAGCTGTACTTCCGGCCCAAGGACCCATACTGCCATCCTGTGTGTGCCAACCGCTTCAGCACCAGCAGCCTGCTGCTCCGCATCAGGAAGAAGACAAGGCGGCGGAAGGGGGCACCAGGTGCCGAGGCCCCCACCAAGGTCACATTTGACATAGAGATCCTGGGCATCATCTCCACCATTTACAAGTTTCAGGGTAACTGAAATCTACTCTTGCAGCAGTGGGTTAATTCAGGGCCTGTTGTTCCAACTGCCTGTGGGAGCCGCGTGGGCCACCTGCACCAGTGACATGGGCTAGGACATCCCCAGGCACAAGGGACCAGGGCTGTGGGGAATGGCAGAGCATAAGCCCCATCCTGGAGGCAGCCTTTCCTCCCTCCTACCAGTAGTTCTCCAGAGACTGTGGGCTCATTGCTGCCTGATCTTCCGCATTCTTTTTTTTTTTTGAGTCAGAGTCTCACCCAAGCTGGAGTGCAGTGGCACGCTCATGGCCACCGCAACCTCGACCTGCTGAGTTCAAGTGGTCCTTCCACCTCAGACTTCCAAGTAGCTGGAACTACAGATGCACAACACCACACCCAGCTAATTTTTTTAAAAATTTAATATAGAGACGAGGTCTTGCCAAGTTGCCCAGGCTGGTCTCGAACCCCTGAACTCAGGCAATCCTCTTGCCTCCGCCTCCCGAAGTGCTGGGATTACAGGTGTGAGCCACTGTGCCTGACAATCTTCAGCATTCTTAAAAGAGGCTAGACATCTAGAGTTCTAAGAGATAAGAGAGTTCCCGAGTTGTAATAAAACTATTGTGTTGGGTCAAATACATCTGGTTAGTAGACCTCCAATTTTTGCTCCCCACTGTTTTAGAAACGTCTCTCGGTCCTGACTGCTGCTGGTCTTGCCACTTGCTCCCAGCTTTCCCACTCCCCTCAGTCCCTTGGGACTTCATGCTCATTTGAACTCTTAGCAGACTGGGTATCTCCCATAGAGTCCTCAAATCAAGTTTGCCACCTACAGGGAACCCCAGTGAGGAGGCAGTAAGGTGAAGGTTAAGAAAGAGCATGGACTTTGTACGTACCTGAGCTCTGCCAGTTTCTTTGGACGAATAACTTGGCTTCAGTCTTGTCTGTATGTTAGGGGCTGCAGGGCTCTTGTTTGTTAGGCCCTTTTGAAGACTCAGGGAGGCAGTGCCTGTTAAAGGGCCAGGCCCAGGCACACAGGAGGCACTTGGCAAATTATTAACAAGCTTAGAAATGTCTGTCAGTACAGCTGTAGTTCTAAGGCAGAATCTGAAGAGAAGAAAGGTTGGGGAAGGAAAGTGGGACTAGAAGAAATAAAGAGGGGAATAAGAAAGTGAAAAGAAGGAGAAACGGGACTTGGGGTTCCATGTGTTGGGCATGTTGCATGTCAGTCATTCTGGGGGGATGTGAGAGTCATCAAAGAGAGCTGCTCTTTCTGGGCCAAGGTTTCCCCAGTGCTTCGTTAAAACATCACACCTCCTATTTCTCACTCTGTCGCCCAGACTGGAATGCAGTGACTGCTCCCAGCCACTGCAGCCTCGACCTGTTGGGCTCTGGTGATCCTTCTGCCTCAGCCTTCCGAGTAGCCGGAGTTACAGGCGCGCACTACCGCGCCCGGCTGATTTTTTTATTTTATTGTAGAGATGAGGTCTCGCCTACCCAGGCGGGTCTTGAACCTGCGGGCTCAGGCAATCCACTCACCTCAGCC